CTTTTTTTTTTTAGTAATGGATTGTTTGTCTTTCAGAATTTGGTATTGATCACTTTGATCTTCTATGTTGTTGCATTTCTTATGCTGAGAGCTTTCAGCATGAAGTGTACATGCCTTCCATTTTGATACCTGGACCAATATTTACTGCATTGCTTGAAGTGATCTTCCTTATATTGTTTCTTCATGTCCAGATTGACACCCTACTTGCCTGTGGTGGACTTGCAAAGAATCGCCTATTCGTTCAAGAACATGCAGATATTATTGGTCTCTCTCTCTCTCTCTCTCTCTCTCTCTCTCTCTCTCTCTCTCTCACACATGCTGCTTATCGATGAGTTATGTAATATACATGAAGTGGATGAATATGTGAACATGCTTGTGGATGCATTTATTCTGTGCATGATTACATTGCAAGAGAGTATTAAATATGTCATTCCCAATCAGTTAGTCAGTTTAGTTGAAACAAATTTAAATCGAACACCAAAAGTTACAGTACACGGTGGTCTGGGAGCTGCTAACTGGCAATTAGGTTTAGAAGAGCATCTTGCATATCTGAGCTTTTCGGTATCTGTTGTAGTTCTTAGAAGTGGATCACGGTCCAGCTATACTTGTAAAATGCACTGTCCTTCCATCCTTGTTGACGCCAGCAAAAATAAAAAAAGCTTGCTTAATATCCTCGTACCTCAATGTTGACGCCAGCAAAAAATTCGAAGCTTGCATCATATCCTCGCTTGTGGACCTCCTCTAGAACAATAAGAAATGAAATAGAAGGAAATAACCTGAAACACCAAGTTATGAAGTGCTAGATTTCTATGGATGGTAGTGAATCCTAAACTTTCCCTTGAGCTTCCCAATTGCTGAAAAGGGTGTGCTATTGCTTTCAATTTGTTATCTTTCAGTATCTGCATGAAGCCTTCAACCTCGGTAGAGAATAATCTTAAATTTCTGTGTGTTTTGGATATTGAATTCCAAGCTGTTTTATATCTTGTGCAGGTTATCCTATCATTCTTCCTCGCGAAAATGAATCTGTGCTATTGGGGGCTTCTATTCTTGGTGCTGTTGCTTCAAAGAAATATCCTACTGTTCGTGAGGCCATGAAAGCAATGAACGCAGCTGGTCAGGTGTGTGACTGTTGTATATATTATCTACTTGTTTCACACGAAGAGGAACCTTTAGCCACAGAAGTCCGGGCACATAGCTGTTGCTGCCTTCCTTTTTTTTTTTTTTTTTTTTTTAAAATGTTTATTTATTTATTGTCCATTCTCTCTTTCTCTTGCAATTTGCTCATGCTTTTGCATTTTTAACTTTTAGAATTCATTGGCTCTGACTTTATACTCTCCTTGGCTGGTTAAAATTCTCTCTCTTTGGAACTGTACATGTGCATTTTGATGCAGAAAATCTTCAGTCTTCAATTTTAATATAGGGTTCGATAGAAAATGAAATTTCTTTTGTTTGGAACTTGTTGGGGGTAGATTAAATGTTCCACCGAGTCCTTTACTGCACCATCCAAAGGAAGACAGCTTTCTTGGCGTTTTGGCGAAGATCAAGATAATCAAATGGAAGAACTAGTCTTCTCTTCTCTCTGCCACCACTCTTTCTGGCACCATACACCTAGGCCAAACCAGATTATAGTAATTTTATCTTCTGTTTTAGGACTAGACTTTGTGCGTACCAATTCGAAAGAAATTTGGAAAAAAGTCTTAAACCCTTCCCGATATTCTCCATCTTCCCTTAAGTTTTCAATATGCCTTGTTGTTCTTATGGGTTTCATGTGGTTGATGGCAGGTTGTGTATCCATCTAAAGACCCAAAAGTGAAGAAGTACCACGCTGCCAAATATAGCATCTTCCGCGACCTTTATGAGCAGCAACAGAAGCATCGTTCACTTATGGCCGAGGCGTTGGCATGAAGCCTTTCCTTCATCACATTGTTGTCACGCGTTTGGTACCCAAAAGTGAAGTACCCCCTTCCTCCTGCATTTCTTTGACCATTGTGTGGTGTATAAAAGGCATTTGGAAATGTATCACTAATTCAGCAATTATCAAGTGTACAGCTGATCTTTTTTTTTTTGACCTGTGCATGTCATATGATTTTATTTTTCTTTGGGGATCTTTTAGTTTTAGTGCCAAATTGCGACATTCCAAAAAAAGGGCTGCCCACGCAGTATTAATGGTTGCTTTCACTATTCGAATTCGTGACCTATAGCACACGGAGACAACTTTATCGTTGCTCCAAGACTCCTCTAATTGCAACATTCCATTGAGATAATAGTTTGATAAAATGTCATTTTTATAACATTTTCGATGATCTTTCGTGTCCTAATTTCCAAACAAAGTGAAGTTTTGATAATTGTTTGGTAGATACTAACAATTCAATAATAAAAAAAAGTAGACTAACAAGTAAATACTTTAACATGACTCCTTTTAATGTAATACCAGTAATAAACTAAATTTTTAAACAAACCAAGAAACCCCTTCGAAACAACTGCAACACTCGAAGCTGATTGGCTCCAAAGAAAAACACCCTTGCATTCATGTACATTTTTTGGTGTTTCCTCTAACTGGAAAAGGTCTTCCAATAGCTTCCCAAAAGCTAAAGAATTGAGTGAAAGCAGAGATGCAATTGAAGGCATAGGACTCTGCATTTGAAATGGAGGAAATATCTTGCACTACAGAAGACATAAGAGGGTCATGTATAACAACAATTCTTTTCACTTTGTTGGAGAATTCATGTAGGAGATTCGAAAACGGTTCGTGTAGCTGTTTAGAGGCTTAAAAAGATGGTTGGAGATGTGTTGGAAATTTTGAGGTGGAATTTTGAACAGGAGGAGGTGACTCAAAATGTAGGGTAAGGCTGCATACAATGGATCCTTGTGGTCCGGCCCTTTCCCGGACCCCGCGCATAGCCGGAGCTTAGTGCACCGGGCTGCCTTTTTTAGGAGGTGACTCAAAATGTGGAGTTGGGAATTCATGAAACTGAATTTGTTGCATATCTTGAGATAGGCTATATGCACTGGGAGTTTAGTTTGCATAAGAAGAAAAATAAAGCTAAGACGAGATTGAACGGAAGTGTGGTGCATAAGTGCAAACATTTTAGATATTTAAGCTCGGTATTCTTGAAGAATGATATGATTGAGGAAGTAATTAAACATAGGCAAAAAAGAATGATTGAAATGGAGTAGTGTTCTAAAGAACGGTTGTAGGTCCAATAATGTCATAAGGGAGTAAATAATAGTCTTGAAAGTCCAATATATTCACAAGATGAATCTCGTGAAAATGCAAATGTTAACACGAATATGCAGTCATAGAAGATAGGATAAGATAAAAAATAATCACATCGGAGAATGTCTAATGTGAAATTATAGAAGATATGATGATAAGATTAAATAAGAGATTCATATGTATGTTGCCATTTTCCGTGGCGACCAAAACAGTCGCCGCAAAAAGTAATGTTGTATGTCGCCATCTTCTGTGGCGACCTAAAGTCGCCACTAAAAGTAGCATTGGTATGTCGCGACCAAAAGTTGTAAGTCGCCACGAAAGGTAGTGCTAGACTTGTGTAAAACAAAGCCAGTGATGATACATAATTTTTAAGCCAAATTGATGCCAGCACTTTTATTTACAAATGAATAGGCAATTAACTATATATGTTAGACTGATATATCTTCCATTCTTATTTTTTTCTTCTTTTTATTGGAAAAATATTTTGTGATACTTTTCCTTTCTTAACTTTCAACCTTCATCTTTTAATGTGATGGGATAGAATAGAAAACAAGGTTGCTTCAATACACAACTTGAGCAGGAGCAGTTGGTGAATGCTTTGAAACTTACTTGGAAATGAAACAAGCACACATTGAAAATGTAAATTTGTTTACTCGAAAAACGGATAGAGTTGAATTTATTCGTAGTTCTAAGGATATGTAATATAGCTCAATACAAATAGTAAGGATAAAAGAAAATATCAAATATGGACCGCAAAGAGTGTAAAATAAATAAAGTTATAAAGAAAGCGATATTTAGGACTAAGCAAAGATGAATTAGTTTATGAGGCTTAAAAGAGTAACTCTTGAATATAAGAGGATATGGTGCTTGAATTATAATGTGAGCTCCAAAAAAACTGCCTTTCCAGAAATGATAATCCTCCCCTTTATAGTAGAGGGATCTTACTTTAAATATAATTAAAAATACTCAGTGAGAGATCCATGATAAATCAGCTTTTCCACAATTCCTGCCAAGATTCTCTCCTCTAGTGGGATTGCAACGGCTTTTGTCTGTGAGTTCGATCTGACTCGAGCTCTCGATCTCGGCTTAAGCCCGATTCTAACTCGAGCTCTCGATCTTTGGCTTAAGCTCGATTCTGACTCGGACCCTTGAATTGATTCGGGGTCAATGTTGGTCGGTCTCTGGATCATAAGCTTGATAGCTTTACTTTGCATCATAGTTCGATTTGGATTCGAGCTTGATAATGATATCGAACTCGACAGTGATCGGCCCCTCGGGTTCGAAGCTTGTTTGTACTATCTTCGGAACCCATCTCGAAGTCTCACTCCGATTGATTATCTTTCAAACTCGATCAGACGTGCGAAGGCCAAAATCTATTTTGACCGTATACAAAATTCCCTTAATCACAGCACCAAGTGAGTGCTCAAAATTGTGTACAAGGACAATGGACATAGACCTTTTCATCATATAGGGAATTTAAAAGTCAAATATCAAGGTAATGTACAATCTTTAAGTTACACCAACAGTATAATGGCAGGAAAAACATCTAAATCTCAATCAAAGGTTGCTGCTGATTTGTTTTTCTGATATACTTGCTACTCCTCTCTAACCAGATTGTCCATAGGATGCGCAGAGGTGGAGAGCCTCTCCAGTCTTTTCAGTCAGACGCGGACGCACACTATAGCAAGAAGGGAGGGGTCACCGGCACTTCCCAAAATACTTCGGTAAAAACTTCATGTATACTTGCAAATATCTTCAAGAAATAGTCAGAAGTATTTTTCAAATTAATTAGCCAAACATAAACTGCTTCTAACTAAAAGTACTTTTGAGAAAAATACTTTTGAGAAAAAACACTTCTCAAAATAAGCTGATTTTTGCAGCTTTGCCAAACGGGCGATAGTTTAAAAACGAACCTAACTTTTTTCCTCTATTAGGCAAGCTAGACTACTAGACGTGGCAATTGACAACACTTTATAAGGTCAGTTTTTTCAGTCTTTTCGGTCAAAGGCGGACGCACACTATAGCGAGAAGAGAGGGGTTACTGGCACCCAAAAAACTTACACCTGCAAATATCTTTAAGAAATCGTCAGATATTAGCACAACTCCCCATACCGGCCAATATCTGCTTTATAGTATCGTATTCATGAGATTACTACTAAATGATTTGCTTTATAACTAGATTGAGCTATGCATGCATGAAGATCTTCATGCTGATCCAGTGAAAATATATCGCGACGACTAGAATAAGAAGTGATAATGGAACCAGAAAGCAGTAATATCTGTAACAGCAAAGAATCACAAAGTCAAAACTAATTTCCATTACCATCAACACAAAAATGATTTAATAATATACTGGTGTGAAAAAGGATTTAAACAAGCATTCCTACCACAAACTTTTGCATTAACTTTTAATGTTGTACATTTTAATATACTTTCTCGTGAACACGTGAAATCTTGAAGGTTCTTAGACTCCATATCAAGAGAACCATGCAATACCTTTTCAAATTCTTATTGGGTAAAGGCGAAAAGCATTGAAAAGCGCTAGATTTTGCTAGGACTTAAAGCTCAAAGTAGAAATTCAAAGAGCGCGCTTTAGCGATGAAAGGCGCAAAATATAAACTTCATACACACAAATAACACTTGAATGCTAAAAAGTGAAGTGGGACGCAAAATGAGGATAGATAATTTGATCACATTTGATTAAGCCTTGGTGAATAAAGTTATCCCGTACGAGATAGTATCAGGTGGAATAGCGGAGGAGCGCGCGACCGGACACCGCTATTATTAAAAAAAACATGTTTAAAGGTATTGACTTTGAACAAACAAAAAAGAAATGTGCAATACAGATGTGCTATCAAGGAAGAAAACGGAACATGCAAATTTGCTAAAAAGAGAATTAATGTCATTTGGTTTTCTTGTTATAATATCTGCAAAGTTACTTTTATGGGTCATTTCAAGAAAGAAGGCAAGGTTGTAATTTTTTGATGGTATTCAGTAAATAGAGGCATATATAATGTATGAAAGAACATAGAGAGAACTAAAGTTGCTACCTTGGTTATTTTAGTATTAAGAAAGAACGAAAAAAGCTCTCATCTTTAGTTGGAATTCATAAATATAAGAAAATACCACGTTAAGTGAAAGAACACCTCAAAAGTAACATGCATATGTCGAATGAAAACACGTTTTATATGTCGAATTAGGTGAATGCGTTTTATTCACGATTTAGAAATGATCGACATCGCACTCTATAAAGAATTATCTACAGGTTCGAAAAAAGAAAAACATTTATATAACAGCAAAACCTTTTCAACTTTTCTTAATTGCTTTTAGTAAAAGGAAAAAAAATCACGAATATTAATCTTTTTATTCTAAAGATAATAGTCTATAATTTTGAAAATGAAATCATGAACATTAAACGAAATAGAGAGGATCAAGAAAAGCATCTACCATAGAAATCATGACAGATATGACCTTGGATTAGCTTTTATTTTACAACAACATTAACATCACATAACAAAGCTTTGAAGACTATCCTCTAAGTGTTATAAAAAAAATTAAATTATGGTGGATGTCTACTCTTCCTCCATGATCTTCTCAAATGCTTAATGACATATTCAATGACATATTTCTATGCTTAATGACATATTCAATGACATATTTTCCTTCACTTTTCATGCCTATATAAAGGTCTTGTAATAGATAGAAAAATACACACAATTGAAGAAGAAAATCTCTTCCTTCTCTCTATCTCCATTTCTTGTTCATGTTTTACTAAATTGCTTTTATTTCATAACAATATGTCTTGTTCATGTTTTACTAAGTTGCTTTTATTTTATAACACGTTATCAGCATGAATTGCTCATTTCATAATCTTCTATG